AGCTACTCAGGAAGATGAGGCACAAGAATTGCTTTAACCTGGGAGGCGGAGGTTGCAGTGAGCCAAGATCATGCCCCTGCACTCCAGCCTGGGCAACAGAGCAAGACTCTGTCTCAAAAAATAAAAACAATAATAATAAAGTCACACAGAAGAGTAGGGGGATGGGGGAGAGGGAGAGACGTGTCAAAGAAAAAAAAGTTACAGTTAGACAGAGGGAATACGCTCCTGTGTTCCACCTCACTTCAGGAAGACTGCAGTTACCACAGAGAGCTTCAAATAGCTGGAAGGAGGATACTGAAGCCTGGGCAACATGACCACACTCCATCTCTACAAAAAAATTTTTAAATTAGCTGGACATGATGGAGCACAACTGTGGTTCTAGCTACTCGGAAGGCTGAGGCGGGAGGATCGCTTGAACCCAGGGGTTTGAGGCTGCAGTGAGCTGTGATTGTGCCACTGCACTCCAGCCTGGGTGATAGAGCAAGCTCCTGAAGAAGGGGAGGGGAGGGGAGGAGGAGACAGGAAGGAAGGAGAGAGAAAGGAAAAGAAAGAAAGAAAAGAAAAGATGATATTGAATGCCTCCAACACAAAGAAATGAGAAATATATTACTCTCCCCTGAGGCTCAGTCTACCCATGTAGGCAGGACCATGGCCTTGGGACCTGCCGCTTCCGCTGTCCTGAGCTTTTATCAACCTCAGCTCTGACGTTAGACCTCTCGCTTACAACACACAACTTAACAAAAGATGGAACAAAAATTGCTACTCTGTCTCTGGCATCAAGTTGCCCAGAACACCACGCTCCATGCCGTGGTGTCTACCTGCGGAAAGTCAAGGGAACTGTGGCTGTGCCTCAGCACCCAGGCCTGCCCTTCACCCAAATCAAGGCGTCCACAAAACCTCAGCATGATTTCCAGTGTATCCCTTGCCATCCTCACCCCCGGCTCCAGGCTTTCCCACCCATGTTCCTTTGACCCAATTCTAACAGCTATTTATATATCCTTCTTTTAGGGAAGTATTTTGTAAACTAGTTCAAATTCTTTGTGGACCAAGGTGGAATATAAATGTTCTTTTATTTAAACAAAACAAAACAAAAACCACTTGAGCTGGGCACAGTGGCTCACACCTGTAATCCCAGCAATTTGGGTGGCAGAGGCGGGTAGATCACAAGGTCAGGAGTTCCAGACCAGCCTGGCCAAGATGGTGAAACCCCATCTCTACTAAAAATACAAAAATTAGCTGGGCGTGGTGGTGGGTGCCTGTAATCTCAACTACTGGGGAGGTTGAGGCAGGGAATTGCTTGAACCCGGGAGGCGGAAGTTGCAGTGAGCCGAGATTGTGCTACTGCACTCCAGCCTGGGTGACAGGGCAAGACTATGGCTCAAAAAAAAAAAAAAAAAAAGAAAAAAGAAAAGACACTCACACACACTTTTGTTAATCCTTTTATACTATGAAAATTTTTCAAAAGGTAAAAAATGTTTAATGTATTTGGCTTTCACAAATAGTTACCTTCAAAATCAGTCCATTGTCTTCCTAGGAGCTAGTTACAACTTAGCTGAAATACCACTGCCCTTGGCCAAAGATCAGGAGCCCCTGATCAGGAACAGGCTCCAGAAATTCCTGGGTTGCAACACACTGGCCTTCCCACCTACCGTCTTCAGGCCTTTCTATATAAGTTTGGATTTGTGTTTACTCTATTCCTGTTCTTTCTGCATTGAAAACTGGGAAATCTTTTTTACCCTCTTATCGTTGGGTGATCTGGGGGAGAAACAGAGAGAAACCACAAACCACATATAAAATCTTCAGTTAGTTTCTTCCCCCAAGATGTATTTTTAAATAATGTAAATGAAACAAATGAAAGAATAGGAGTCACAGAAACCTACACAATTATATAACCATAATGTTTTAACCCCTCGCCGTGTTACAGAAGGAAAAGGGGAGAGAAATGGGATGAGAGAAGAAAAAGACAAAATCGGCCAGGCGCTCACACTTGTAATCCCAGTACTTTGGGAGGCTGAGGCAAGTGGATCACCTGAGGTCAGGAGTTTGAGACCAGCCTGGCCAACATGGCGAAATGCCATCGCTACTAAAAATACAAAAATTAGCCAAGTGTGTTGGCACACGCCTGTAATACCAGCTACTTGGGAGTCTGAGGCAGGAGAATCGCTTGAACCGGGGAGGTGGAGGGAGGCTGCAGTGAGCAAGATTGCACCACTTCACTCCAGCCTGGGCAAAAGGGCAACACTCTGTCTCAAAAAAAAAAAGACAAAGACAAAATCAGGAGACACCCAGGTGAGAGTTCACTGGGATGGCAGCACATCTGGAATAGGTGTTTCTCAGAAATATCTGGCTGGGCCACATCTGCACAGGGACCAATCTCAGCAAAAGTTAAGTATGAGCTTGCAGGTCAGCGAGAGAAACTGTACCACAAGGGCCAAGAATGAGCTGGCACAGGATGTGGGAACAAGGGAGCAGAAAGGACGCGTGAGTGGTCGTGGGAAAGAGAAGAAAGGGAGTGGTTTTAAGGAAACGAAGCTAGCAGGGCTTGCTGAAGGATAGCGCTCTGGGTGTAAAAACAGGGAAGTGTCTTGGGGGCTCCCGGGCGTAGCTTCCTTCAAGCACTCTGAGCTGGAGGAGTCCTGGCTGCAATCCCAGGTCAAGGATGGAGATTCGGAGTTGGGGGACACCAACAAATTGGAGACATTTAAAACAGAAGGGGTGGGGGAGCAAGGAAGGTAGGCAACCACCAGATAGGTGGCAGGAGAGCCCAGGAAGGCTCAAGATGGAAACCTAGGAGGCACAGTCCCCAGCCAGGAAGGAGCAGGAGGGGATCACTGACAACTTTTCCTAGAGCAGATTAAAAGGATTAGAACAGAGGCCCGACTGCTACCGGAAGAAAAGGAAATGACACAATGTTGACTTTCTGGCCAAGAGCACACATGCAAAGAGGCCAGAGTGGGGCTGGATGAGGAGATGGGTAGATGGGATGATTTTGTTAAGAAAGAAGAGACTGGCCAAGAGCACACGTGCAAAGAGGCCAGAGTGGGGCTGGATGAGGAGATGGGTAGATGGGATGATTTTGTAAGAAAGAAGAGACTTGATATATTTATGATGGAGTGGGAACACTCAAAGGAGAGGCAGCTGCAGGAGAGAGGAAGGTTCCAGAGTGCAGGTGGAAGGCCAGTATGAAAGAGCTAAGAAGTCTGGGGCAGCATGTGGAAGGGTGGGTAGGAGGAGGTCAGGGCCGACTGCTCGGCCCAGGGCTCAAAGAGAGGGGCCAGGCAGAGCTGCAAGAGCAAGGAAAGATGAAGGGGTCACAGGCAGGGCCCCCCTGAGGTCAAGGGCAGGTAGGATGGACGTGGAGACTTGACTAGACAGGGCTCCAGGAATAAAGGGTTGAGAAGAGACCCCAAAATGAAACCTAACACTTTTTGTTTTTTTTATTAAGACTGAGTCTCACTCTGTTGCCCAGGATGGAGTGCAGTGGTGAGATCTTGGCTCACTGCAACTTCTGCCTCCCGCGTTCAAGCTATTCTTCTGCCTCAGCCTCCCGAGTAGCTGGGACTACAGGCGCACACCACCATGCCCAGCTAATTTTTGTATTTTTAGTAGAGACGGGGTTTCACCTTGTTGACCAGGATGGTCTCGATCTCTTGACCTCGTGATCCACCCACCTCGGCCTCCCAAAGTGCTGGGATTACAGGCTTGAGCCACCGCGTCCGGCCTGATGCGCTTCTTATTCCTTTACTGTCATTTCAGTGGGCTTTTCAGAGGAAGGTCAATGTGGTGTGTACCCCCATGATTCAATCTGCCACATTACCCCTAAAGTCTCTTTACGTTTGAATTCTGTGTGCCCTGCCTCCCCTTAGATGGAAGCATAGGCTGAAGCATGGGTGCCGCAAAGGGTAACAAATAGAAAACACACACCCTTCCTGCAAAAAATTACATTCCATTTGACTTTTTCAGGGCAGGGTAACAGCTATTTTTCCATCGTGTGAGTTCTGTCAACTACTCTTCAAAAGTAAGGAAGTCCTGCCACCCTTCTATGTGTTTTCTGTATCTTGGCTAGGAGTGCTGGAGCGCTGGGGCAGGTCCTCAGAAGGGATGGAAAAATCCGATTCCCGACTCTCACAGTCAGCAGTAGGCAGGAGCAGCAGAGATTACGGAATCCAATTTCCTTATTGTATAAAAAGGAAACTGAAGCCCAGAGAGCTTTAGTCGATTTGGATCAACTTTGCTCCCTTGAGAAATAATTCTCTCAAAAGGTGGCTCAATATCAAGCTCCTTGCAGTCTTTGGGTCTTTGGGTCTAACATTCCCTAGGCCCCGATGCTGTGCCTCAGGTCAAAGGCGCTTTCAGAGCCTGTCCCTCTCAACACCGCGGCCAGCTTTATCTTTTTGTGGCACTTGTTGATATTTAAAAATATTTATGGGAGGCCGAGGCGGGTGGATCACGAGGTCAAGAGATCGAGACCATCCTGGTCAACATGGTGAAACCCCGTCTCTACTAAAAATACAAAAGATTAGCTGGGCATGGTGGCGCGTGCTTGTAATCCCAGCTACTCAGAAGGCTGAGGCAGGAGAATTGCCTGAACCCAGGAGGCGGAGGTTGCGGTGAACCGAGATCGCGCCATTGCACTCCAGCCTGGGTAACAAGAACGAAACTGTCTCAAAAAAAAAAATTTTTTTTTAATTATTTTACGAGTTATGTGACTTCCACCGGAATGAAAGCCCCCCTAGAGGAGATCCTTCCTGTCTCGTTCACCGTTAATCCTCAGGGTGAACCGAGATTCGAAGTTAAGTAGTCTGGATCTAAAGTCGCGATTTCAGCCCAACATTATGCTGCTATTTAGTGAAGACGATGGACTTCGGAGCACACGGGAAGCAAAACTGACGAAAGATACCCGGAAGTGAGCGACAGCAAACCATCCAGAGTCATCCCCACGGTGGCCCCTCTGACCTTTCCCTCCGGAAGCACTCACGGCTCTCGGGAGCGAATGCGCACGCGCGGCCTCTGGGGTCGCTCCGGGTCGCGCGCGGAGCAGGGGCTGGAGGGAAGGGTCCGCCTCCAGGGCTGGCCAGCGCCTGCGCTACGGGGCTCCCGTCAGGACGCGCATTCTCGTACCCTCCCTCAGCTGCGCGCGCCCGGTGGGCGTGGGAGGAGGCGGGGAACCGGGGCGGGGTGGGTGTCGCAGGACAGAAGGAGCAAACCGGAGAGCGTCGTCCTGAGAGGAGTGAAGGCGGCAAAATGGCGGACCGCTTCTCCCGCTTCAACGAGGACCGAGACTTTCAGGTAAACACGGGCGTCGCCAAGGATGCGGGGAATGCGCTGATCGAGTCCAGATCTCCTTCATCTCCGGCTCCCAGCCCTCTTTCCTTCCAGGCTTTGCTCCACCTTGCGAACCGGCTCGCTCTTCTCTCGTCTCTGCGTTCTCCAGGGGCCTCCCGGCGTGAGGGAGGCCCCATCTCCTCTCAGCCTCATTCTCTTACCTCTGAAACTCAGGCCGCGGGGCTTGGGGCTTCCACCTCCTGGCGTCGGATTTCCAAGCCTGGGCCTGGGCGTTGTGTGGGGGTCTGTGCCCTCGGGGTTTGCCCGGCCTGTGCCAGCGAAGGGCTGGCTCCCAGGGGACAAAAGGGGTGCTTGGGTTGGGCTGGGAGGCTTTCGGGGCCAGTGTTGCTGAGGCCAGGGCTTCCGAATCCCGGGATTTTGCTCTCACGGACCCTTTTGGGGTCCTTCTCTCTTCTTCCTTCACTGGGAGGAAGAACAACAAGAATCTCAGTGTTTCACTGACTGCCTCGTTATCAGACGCCTTATTGGTTAGTGAAACATTGCGATTTCCCTGGGCGTAAGTGTTGCTGCTGTTATTAGACTGTTAATTGGGCTTGGAAAACAGTAGTTACTGGACTATGGTCCGATGTAAGCTTAACCTCAAATCCTATCTCGAAAGATTTGTAAGAAGCGTAATGGTAATGGGCCTTCCGTAATGATAATGGTCACTAGTGCCAACAGCTTGCTTTTTCTTTCTCCAGTTGCAAATGTTAGTATGGAAAAATGCCCTTATGATGGCAACCTCTATTGAGTAAAAAATAAAGGCCAAATTCGTATAGCTCGTTTTTTCTTCGCTTAAAATACTTTGCTGTTGAAATTGTTACCGCGGAAATCTCGAAGACTAAAAGGGATTTCGTAGAGATTGGCTATTTGTAGGTAAAATACATCCGTAGTCTCAGAGAAACCACTGCATTACTACCGCATATCCTGGCAACTGCAATTTGGGTCAAGGGATGAATCTCAGAACTCAAGTTTTTATCCCACTGCAGATCCTACTCAAAGCAATACGAAAGCACTCCAGCTGTGTTTTATAAGGCAGTTTAAAGGGTTTGGATTCCCTGAGATGATAGGATTGGTAAATAAATAGGTAAAGCAGTTTAACAATTTTACCCAGCACTGTTAGCGGTCTATCTAGTACATAGAAGGCTTATGAGAAGTTTTGCAGCAGTAAGCGATCTGGGGGCTGTTGAAAAGCCTTGTGATCATGCGCTTGCTGTATAGCTGCAGCACAATACGGAAGAATCTCAAGGTGTTCTAAGGATGTAAGGCAGATTCACCGAAGTTTGGAAGCAGTTCATGTTAGCCTTTTGATCCCTGGGAAATATACGTATATTTTAGCAAGCACCGTAAAATATGATCAGGTTACAAGGTGTATGAGCTTTATTGATTTTTAAATTACTAATAGAGACATATTGATAACCAAAGCCTGAAAATGCTTTTCAGAGGAGAGAATCTCAAGGTGACCTAATAAAATTGAAAATGGATACTATGGACAATTCAGTTTTGAGGAAAGATGACTGTGAACCACAGAATTCCAGCAGGCTTAACAAACAGGATTTTCAGGGCCTTTAAGGAAAATTTTGAAAATTTGTGGATAGCAGAGTGTGAATGCTGTTTCCTGAAAAAAATCGAGGGACTTAGCCTCTACTTTTTCAATAGTCGGTTTCTAAGTAAGATGACCCTCTCTTCTGATGCTTCAGTTGGGTATTGCAAAATCCGATTTTGGTTTCATGGTAGTCGTTTGAAGATGATACGTATACTTCAACTTTATTTTCTGCTTTATGTTGAAAGAACCAACCTCTGTTAAATTGAGTCAGCCAGGAAAATGTTGGTTTTTAAAATTCAGATGTCCTAGAATTTTGGGTAAATAGGGGATTAAGAATGGAAACCTTTTTAGACAGTTGTAAGATGTTAAAACTTTTATAAATTGTGTTAAGGTTTCTGAAATGCATTTATTTAAAAATAAAGTGGTATTTTTCTGGATGTTTTAATAAAGGGAAAAATACAGATTGATTTTCATTAATGATGTCTTTTGATTCAAAGTTATTGGTAAGAGAATGTAATGTAATTGGATGCTCCTGTGAATAATATATCTGAAACAAAATTAAACATGGCCTCCTTTAAAGGGTTTAAGTGATAAATGAGGTGAAGCCACTAACTATACTTGAAAACAAATCCGTAGTAGGTTTCCAAACCTAGTGGCTAGATCTTGTTGCTTTCAACAGATCTTGTAGCACTAGACATTTCTCTGTTCATCTTTTCTGGTAAGTTCGAGATGACTGTCATTTTCTTTGCCTTTAATTTGGCAGGGTGATTTAAAGTTGTAGAACTTCACTCTTTACCAGTTCATCAAGTGCAAATTTTGGAGAGTTTGATGTCTCTTGAAATTAATATGGAGTCAGGGAGTTTCAAAGGTATTTTGTATAATGTGAAAAGTTATGTTTAACAGTGGATGCCACCTGAAGCACTTATAAATATAGAGATTAATCATTATCAGGCACCTAACTTTTTTTAAATTGGTAACTTTATTATAATAACAAACAGATCCTATTCCACAAGCTTTATGTGTCTTATCTCATTGTCTTCACTGTAACCCTAGAAGGTAGGTACTGTTGTTACTGGTGTTTTCAGCTGAGACACAGAATTAAGTAACTTAGCCAAGTACATACATCTGTTAAATGGCAGAGCCTAGATTCATAACTGGCTTTTGGACTCTTGAACTTGAGCTCATGACCATTCTGTTTGCTGCTGGCAATTATATATTTTATATAGCTGTAATTGAGTCATCAAATGTGGAAGATAAACTTATAGGTGGCAAAGAACAAGGGAGCTTTTAGAAAGGTGGTACAATTCCAGTTTTTAATCTGTTCAGCTTTGTCCAAATCTGTTTCTTTCTGGTCTCTCAAGGGCTTCTAGGGAGGCTTTCAACAGTGATAAATTACATTGTGTCATAGAGGATAGATTGTTAACTGTTTTAGTTTAGACATTCTTTTGTCTAGCCTTTTAAGTCTTTTTTTTTAATCTTTGGAAATCTTTGTAATCTAAGCTGATGCATTTATTTAAAAAATATTTTAAGAGTTTTAACTACTTTAAGAATCTGACTTCAATTTCTGAATGGGATATTACTTCTGCCGGTATTTACCAGATTAAGATATATTCGTTCATGATTGAAGTGTTAGACAAACTAATGGAAAATATGTAGCTTAAGATAATCAGCATTTGGATTGCAGGTTCATTAAAGAAAGTTTTGTTTGTTCAGTGATGTACAGCCAGCTATATGATGCCGTTAAGATACAATGCTTAGCATTTTATGGTTGCACAGTTATTATTGGTGATGCAGCTGAATGCTAGTGAGGAAATGTTCTTTAGTATATGTACCTGCAGAGGACTGATGATTTGTGTTCCGAATATCTCTGCATTTTATTTCTAATGAAAAGGAACTATAGTAATAGATCAGTGATGATAAGTTGATAAGAGAAACAAGACATGCTATCTTAAAAGGTCATAATAAAAATACAGAAATTGCCCAAGAACTTTCTATAATCTATGTAAGTAATCATAATGGTAAATACAATAAGCTAGTCATGTATTACATTTATGCAGTGTGTTTGTAGGATTCCTCTTTGTGTTTCCTGTATGAACCAGGATGTGACCCTCAGGAAATTCTTAGTGGAGACTATTAAGTGAAGAGGTTGGTTGTTTTAAGTTTTAAGATATTTAGGTCACAGAAGCATGTTAGTATATTTCTTTTTTCTTTCTTTTTCTTTTCTTTTTTTTTTTTTTTTAAGAGACAGAGTCTTGCTCTGTTGCCAGGGTGGAGTGCAGTGGCATGATCTTGGCTCACTGCAGCCTCCACCTCCCAGGTTCAAGCTATTCTCCTGCCTTAGCATCCCAAGTAGCTGGGACTACAGGCAAGCGCCACCACACCCAGATAATTTTTGTAGAGATGGGGTTTCACCATGTTGGCCAGGATGGTCTCCATCTCTTGACCTCATGATCCACCTGCCTCGGCCTCCCAAAGTGCTGGGATTACAGGTGTGAGTCACCGCACCCGGCCATATTAGTCTATTTTCTGTATGTAATCAAGTTGGCATTGTAATGCAGGTATGCCAGATATGACATATGGGTAAGTGTTCTAAACGTCTTTTCCTGTGTCTCTTTTCCATAATTTGGAAGAAATGCCACAAGCTATGAAAATTCATATCAGTTTGGCTTGGGATACTGAAACTAATGCAAAATCATTACTCTTCCCAGTCTCATAGTATGACAGGTGAAAAGGATTAGAACCAGGGTTGTACTAGTTTCAAAATACTGATGCTGAATTGACATGATTATTAGCAAATGCAAAGTGATATTGATATTAGTTAATATATTCTCAGGAGATCAAGAGTTACCAAAGTAAAGTCAGCATAAGAGAAGTTTCCCTGGAGGTGATTTGAAGGGTAAAGTACATGTAATCACTTTTTAAGTGTGTGACATATCACAGAGTAACATCACAGAGAAAGACGTAAGTTGCAAATAGGAAAGATTGGAGTTGGGAAGAATTGTGATCATTGGGCTTTATGTGATGATGTGTTTCATTATTTGTTTTCAAAGTAGGCATGGGAGGCAGGAAGAAACAGATCTGGACAAGTATACTATTAAGCTGAGTATTATTTCAGAGAGCTCTTACACTACAGTCAAAATGATAGAAAGGGCAGGTATCTCTATTGTATCCTTTTCTTTTATACATGTAACACAGTCTCATTAGAGTACTGCAAAGGGATTCTTTCATCACATTTTCTCATGTCTTTATGATAAATTATATAACCAAAGATAAAATTTGTGACTTAAAAATATTTTAAGACACATATATAATAAGCTATCCTGATTGTGCTACTTCATAATTGAGATACATTTCCATGTGATTTCTGTCTATCTGAGCACATAATAAAAAAAATTTTTTTTTTTTTTTTGAGATGGAG